GTGAAAGGTAGGTAAAAAAAAAAAAGATATTTAGAGTAGTAAAATTAAGCCCCTATTTGGATTTTATTATTCAAAAAATTCATTTTTTCAAAACCTATTTTCAATCACTCATTTTCCTATAAAATAATATTATATGTAAGCAAAACATATTCTTATTTTTTAATCGCACATTCTTCAAACAATCACAATTCCAAAATACATTTTCTCAAAACATTTAATTTTAATGTCGTCCAAACAGAGGCTAAGTGTTAAAAGATAAAGAGGTGGTTGAAGTTTTTTAAAATTTTTATTATCTAAATTTATAGATGTTCTCTAAATTATGAAATATGCTCTTTAAAAATAAAGAATCTCTTGAAAATGTTTTTCAGTAATCAAAAGAAGGAAAAAAAGATAAGATAAAAAAAATTAATTTATGAATTTTGCTATTTGTATATTCTTTGCTTTACATCATGGTTTACATTCCATTTGTTTTCAAAAAATTATGACGAGAATAGTTTTTTTTTCTTTTAAATTGACGAATGACAATTTGCAAACGGTCAAACTTGGTTTACACCAAAGCATGATTCTTAATTGATAGATACCGCATTTTGAACAATCCAAAAATGTTCCATTTGCGTTGAATATTGGTATTGAAAGAGATTTATATTTTGAAGAAATTGAAACTATGCTTTTTATGAGCAGAGTATCTTATTTGGAATAAGAAAGATCGTTGCTACATGAAGAAAAAGGTGGTTGAATTTACAGCGGCAACTATTTTATAAGAAGAACAAATATTTGTAAATTCATTACGTTTCATATTCGATACGTATCCAAATTTGGATACTCTCTGATGCGTACTGAATATGTATTTTTAATTATTTTATATTTTATAAATTTTCGATATGTATGTTATACGTATTTTTTAATTATTTTCAATACGTACGAATATATTAGGACACGATCGTTTTTAAACTCTTTTAAAACTCACTATTTTTTATTATAGATTGACAGTTTTTTTACTTAATAGATAACTATTCTTATCATCACTAACTTATTGAAAATAGATATATTTATTGAAAATACTCAACTAGAGTTTTAATTTAATTGATAGCTAGAATTTTTTATTAGAAATAAACAATAATATTAAAATTTTTAATACATATAAAATCGTGTTAATAGTTGACAACAATATTTTTATTATTAGATATAGATACTAGTATTAAATCTTCGTAGGACATTGTTGAAAACTCATTTGATACTTTTGAAAGTGTTGAGCTATTTGAGGCTGCTAATCTATCATTAGACGAGCGAGAATTGAAAATGTGTTATTTTTAATGACAATGAAGAAATGGACGTTTGAGATGTTGAAGAAAATGAAGTTATGATAATTAATAATTAAGATAAAATATTTTAATATTTTATTTTTATTATTATTTTTTTGTTTTAATTTTTTATAATAACGAAATTATATATATAAACACATGTATTCGTGTATCCTATTTTTTAACATACCCGTATAGTATAATATTCGAATTAGAGAATAATACATAACTCTTACATATAAAAATTACTTTTCAAAATTAACAAATTTGTCAAATTATTTTAAAATTCAGGTGTTAATTTCAATTAATAATATATAATTAATTNNTTCAATTAATAATATATAATTAATTTCAATTAATAATTCCCACCTAATTAATTGTATCCTCACCCCACCCTCCGCTACCAAATTAATAATGTATCAATTAATAATATCCCACCACAACGAACTTACCCACCACATTACACCCAACCTAATTTGTAATTTTTTTTTTTCAAAAATTACAAATCTTTTATGGATATTACACCCCACCCTGAAACCGCCTCCACGAATCACTCCAAAGTTGTGAGTAACTGTGTTATCTGTTACCATGTTATTTTGTGACTAGACCTGTGTTATATGTGATTAACTGTAACCAAATTTGTCTTTAACATGGCCGTCTGTAACTGTATAATTTGTGATTGTATGTAACC